TTTTAGTTCTGTTTCATGTTTGTGCTGGTTTTCCTGCACTGAGCAGCAGTCACTCCTGTGATGTACACAGCCCAGCTCGCTTGTTTGATCAGGGACTCGAGATGGGGCAGTTTCAGCTGGAGGAGACATTGGCAAGGCGTGTGGGCATGTGGCAGGCATCTAGACAGGGATTGGCAAACTTTTTTTTGGGAAGGGCCAGATAGTAGATATTTTAGGCTTTGCAGGCCAGATGGGCTCTGTTGCTACTACTCAACTCTGTTCTTATAGCACGTTAGCAATCTTAGACACATGTAAACAAATGGGTGTAGCTGAGTTCCAGCAAATCTTCATTTACACGAAGAGGCGGTAGGCCAGGAGTTCCTGCAGTCCTGATGGAGATGAACATGGCACTGTGCTTCTCAGTTCAAGAACAGGAGTGCCACAGAATTAAAAAGATAAGTCGGTGGTCTGAAACTTAGGATGCATGGTAGAAGCAGCATAAAAAATAGTTACGTACAAGGCCTAGTTTACCTTTTAGGCGGGTGAGGTATACGCCACCTAATTTCTGGAGACCTCTACACAGTCGGAACATAAGGGTGTTAGGAGTAAGAAGACCAGAAAGGACGGGAAACCAGGTGTTTGTGATGTTGGAGTGTACGACTTCTGAATCTGGGAAGAGGAGCGGCTCCGGATGGTGAAGGTGTCCTAAGTGTGCCTGCGGTGGGAGCGCGCGGGTCAGGTGGCTCGGAGGTGAGGGATGTTGGCGGTGAAGAGATCAGGCCCCTACGAAGGGAGACTTGCTCTTATTGTGGAAGTGGCAGGGCTTCCCCCCTTTCTCCTGTCTCTGGGTGGTGAGAAAGAATTTTCCACCCCTCTCATCTTGGTTTGTGTCAGCCCCTTCCTCCCCCCGTTTCTAGAAGAGGAAATGGCCAAGAGGAGACCTCTTTGCAATAAGTGGAGGCAGAGGCGGGGTCTTGGTAGGGGCTTTGGGTTAGGGATGGGGGATGAAGACTGAGAAGGAATTCAGGAGCTGTGGCGAGTAGGCTTTCCTTTGAAGTGTGTGTGATTGTTGCCCTGGAGTTGAAGAGGGTGGGATGGAGCGAGCAGTGGCCTGTACTCTTGTTGCGTAGCCTGGGTGGGCAAGCAAAACAGTGTCTTCACGTCACCTCTCGCAGGTGGGAGGTAAGAGTCACAGGGGTAGCTCCTAGAGTATGTACTTTGGAGGAGGGAAGCTATTTTATAAACTAAGGGTAAGGAGTTGAGAGGCATAGCCCAGGAGTGGGTCAGTGTGGGAAGGTGCGGTGGTGGAGAGAGGGGGGGTTGGGGAGTAGGGAGAAGAGGCATTTCCTCAGATGCAGTTTGGGAAGTGTGTTCCCTAAGAGGAAGATGGGCTATATTGTAGGTGGTATTTGCAAAGCAGGCCTGCCTGTTCTTAAATTCCCAGATAAAAAGAGCTATGTATGTCATAACTGTGTGATAAGGTGCTTTTTGACTATGTTACAGTGATATTCTTGCATCATAGAAGTTGAAATAGAAGGAGCTGTGTAGGGTCATGGAACAGAGGAGAGGTTTTAAAAATATTAATTCCCTGAGGCTCTAAACTGTGATCATTCCGTCTTAATTTACATCTGATCATTTGTATCATTAGGTTCAGCCCGAATTTGGAATTTTTTACAATTTAAATTAGCACCATTTTGATTCTAAGGGTTTGTTGCAACTGTAAGTTAGAAACGTAGGAAGAAGGGTTTCTTAATGGACTCTACTGAGGGATCCGCACCTCGGCTTAAAGCCGGGGAAACTTTCACACACGAGCCCCCTCGTGCTACCTTGCTTTTCGAGAGAACAGAAGCAGTAATGATTTTGAGGTTGTGATGAGAAGATTTCTAAATCTTTATTGAGATTCTTTATTTGTTGAGATATCATTATGCTGGTTTCCTTTAGCTCTTGAGCATATTGAAGGCAGTTGAATTAGCCTATCATCTAGCAAGTCCAGCGTCTGTCTCCTCAGGGACAGTTTCTGTTGACTTCTGTGAACGCACCATACTTTCTTGTTAATTTGCATGCTTTGTTATTTTTTGTTGGGAGACTGGACATTGATTATCATAATGTGATAACTCTAGAAATCAGATTCTTCCCCCTGCTGAGGGTGCATTTGTATTACTACGTGTGTTGTAGTCGTGTACTTGTTTAGTGACTTTTCTGAACTAGTTTTGTAATGACTGTATTCTTTGTTGTGTGTGGTCTCTAAAGTCTCTGTTCCTTTAGCTTGTGGTCAGGTAGTGTTTCAAGAAATTTCCTTGCATGCTGGAGCCAAGAAAAAGCGAAGAACTCTCCCAGGCTTTGCAGATTCATGCTGTGTGGCAGCCCTCCAGTGCTCAGCCAGGTTGTTTATGACTCTGCCTTAGCCTCACTTCCTTCTTGCTCTGAGTCCAGAAATTAGCCAGAGGTGAAAGTGTAGAGCCTCATCATGTCTCTTCTGAGCACACGGTCTGCCCTGGATGTGGCTTCCCAAATTCCCAGGCTCATGCACTGGGCAGCTTTTTAATGTCCTAATTCTTCAAAGAATCTCATTTCCCACATTTTTCTCCCAGGCTTTTGGTGTATCTAGTGTTTGCTTTTATTCTTTTTTGACTCAGGCAGCAGGGGTTGTTCATATTTGCCTGTCAGTGTTTTGTGGAATGCCTCCTGTCTAGCTGCTTTTTGCCCTGGAGGAGTTTCATGTTAGGCATGGGATGATTTTCATGCACTGTCACGTGGATTACCCTGTGTAGTCTTGTCTTTAGACATTGCTCATTGATCCACTGAATCACTTGCAGTTCCCCAAAGAGATCATGCTATTCCCTGAACCTCCAAGTCTTCACACAAACCTCTTCCAGGAATACTGTTACCTGTGTTTCTTTTTATATGCATTTTTAATATGTATACCAGATTAAAATTTGACAATCTTTTGTTTAGGGTGTTTGTATGAGGGGTATTTGTAATCTTTATTTTTTCTTGTATTGGATTGTCAAGTTGTGCTTTAAAAATAATTTTTGCACTCCATTTAAAATGTCAAATTTATTGGTGTGAAGTTGTTCTTAATGTCTTATTCTTTCTGTGGCATCGGTAGTGATGTTCCTCCTTTCCTTTTTGATAGTGGTAATTGATATTTTTTCCTTGATGAGCTTTGCCAGGGGGTTATTATTTTATTAGTCTTTAGAAAGCCAACTTTTAGTTGCATACATTTTCTTTATTATATGGCTGTTTTCTATGTCAGAGATTTCTGTTTTTATTGCTCCTTCTACTTTCTTGATTAATTTACTGTTCTCTTTATAGCTTTTTGAGCTGTAATTGATGATCGACTTTCTAACATGCACACTGAGAACTATACCTTTCTCTCTAAGCACTGGCTGAGCTTCATATAAATTTTGATGTGTTGGGATCTTGGTATTCAATAGAAAACATTTTCTAATTGTCTTTGTGATTTAAAGGTCTGTTGCTTAATTTCAAACGTCGCCTCTCCGGTTAGGAGCCTCGGCATACCGGCAGCTCCCGTACCACCGTAAGCCAGCCGTATCGCAGGGTGTTCTGCCCCCCGGGTGGCTCGTAGCTGGGCTGCAGTCCGCACCAGGGCTCGTTTACATCTGGCACAGCTTGACCCCAGCAGCACGTGGTCACGTCCCAGTCCCAAGTCAGAGTGCCGTGTTGTTGACTCGAGCCCCTACCTTTTGTGGGCCACGCCTCCAGCTCCTGCCCCCTCCCTCCTAGAGGCTGCCAGAAGCACTCTGAGCCGCTGGCAGTTTCTTCTAAGTAGACAGATCTCCCCAGAGCAGAAGCAGCTCCGAATGCCTGGAACCTGCGACGTCTTGGTCTTGGCTTGGCAGATCTGAGCGTTTTGTTGCTTACGACCTGCTTTTAAGATTTTAAAATCGTTCCTTAGCTCTTTATGTTGGCCTCAGTGGCGGGTTTGTCTGAATGACCTCATCTGGTATTATCGGAAGGGAAAAATCAGGACAAGTTATTTAACCTGTTCTTTATCTGTGCTTCCTTTTTCTCATCTTTAGTGCGGGATTCGTAACTCCTACCATCTTGTAGGGTTTTGGGGATTTTTAAATGAGGTCACACATTATGAGCTTACAGTAGTACCTGACGTGAAGAACACGCTCGATTTATTATTACATTGGTTTGAGAACATTAAATTTGTCTGTTGCTCTTCAGAAACTATTCCAAGCATGAATTAGCCCCCTTGTTGCCCAAAGTTGGCTGAGATTATGAAAGATTTACAAATAACATTCATATCGACTGGCCTTTCTGTCAGCCCTGATTTGGGTAGATGACACTTCCCCCTCCTAATGTTTTCAAGACTCTATTCTATAAGGAAATTAATTTGATCTAAGACCAGGTAACGACCCTGATATCGGTGTGTGTATACGTATGGGTGCGTGTGTGCATGTGTGAATGTCGAAGACTGCTGAGCCCTCGCGTGCGTGTGTTTGTATGCACATATAAACATGAAGGCTGAGTGGGAAGCTATTTTAATTATTTAAAATATGGTCTTTTGTTGCTAAAACGATTGAGCTGGAGCTGAGGAGAACAAAATGAAGTAGAATTGGGGTCCTGTTTTAAAGATTTTTAAATTCTGAAACTCCCTTAGACGAGACGATGAAATAAAAGCAGGCAGGCAGCCGAGTGAGCTCGGGCGCCGGCTCGGCTCCGGGAGCCCGGGCCCCGCAGCCTGGCAGGACACGCGTGTGCACTCTCTCTGCGCTCCAGCGACCTGCCTTTCCCAAAGTGTCCTTGACTTTCCTTCTTCTGCCTCCACCTGACTTTCGCGCAGAGGAAATTTCACTTAATCTATTTTGTGTCAACTTTCAACCCATCAGTACAGTATACCATCTTTCAGTGCATTTCCCCACTATGTAAAATGAAATAGTCTTAGTACGTCAAGGTTTAAAGAAATCCAAAATAAATTTCTTTTGAGATGGAGAGAGATACATGGCAATTTGAAAATTTTTCTAAATTGTAAATAATTTCTCTTTTTGGTAAAAATGCTATGTCCCATTCCTTTGGTTTAATGTCTTTTAAATTTTCTTATGCTACTATATGCCTTAAAGTTACTTTAAGCTAATTATCTTCATGATTTTGTTTTCTAGGTTAACAGAACCTTCTGGATATTTAACAGATGGTCCAATTAACTATAAGTATAAAACTAAATGCACATGGCTAATTGAAGGCTAGTAAGTATACAATTTGGGTATATTTATTTTATCCTGAAATGATAAAGAAGCGATCGTATCAATGTTAAAGCAGAAGTATAACAACTTTATAATTATAGAGTTTATTTCATTGCTTATTATTAGAAAAGCACTATTCACGCTATTTTTAATGGGATTTACAACTTCTAGATGTCACGTTTAATATGTTACAATACCCATTCGCTTGTGATAATAGTTTAATTTTTGCATATATTTTATTTTTTGAGTTATGTTAGTGTGGCATTAAATAAATCAGGCAGGCATTTTTGGCTTCTTTTAAACACCTTGTTAAGGAATTTGAAGATTCCATAGAAAGTAAAAATATTCTGGGCCTAATTATACCATGGGTTCATGTTATTCAGCATTTTAGTTCTAAGGGTGTTAAAAGAAAGAACATTTTATAGAAAAGAGTGAATTACCCTTGTAGAGGTATTTTTCAGTAATAAGGACTTGAGATTGAATTTATCTATTTAAACATTGTGATTGGACCATACATGAATCGATACCCATTGTTTGAACCATTTTATGATTTTTAAAGAGTATATTTGGAAAACCGGTATTTTGGGGGTTATTTAAAAAGTTTTTTAGAACTTAAAAGTTCTAGAACTTATGAAATTTTTAGAACTTATTAATTCCCTGTGCACTCTTGGTCTCATTTTGTTGACTTGTTAATGGTATTGAGACCTTTCAGTTAAAATTTGGAGACCTTATCAGGGCCTCTAGTTAAGGTTTGTGTAGAAATAAGAATACTTGCTCCTTGAGTGTTGAATTTTAAAATTCAGCTTTATTCAGGTTCAATTTGCATGAAAGAAAATGCACCCCTATTAAGTATACAGTTCAATAAGGTTTTAAATAATGTATACGATCTACATAACCTCCACCTTAATTGAGAGAGAGAACATTTCCTTTCAACTGAGATTTTAGAAAATGATGATACATACCTATGGCCTGTTAATAGAGTATGTATTGGAGTTGCATGTATTTTTTACAAATTATATATCACTGCTTATCAATCTTGTACACTGGTGACTTAAGGATTTATAGCAGAATTATCGTAAATAGGTTTTAATAAAATGCTATGCCTAAAATGTCTTCAGACTGTGCTTTTTCTATTACATATTAATTTAAAAATATTTTATTCTTTTTTTTAGTCCAAATGCAGTATTAAGATTAAGATTCAATCATTTTGCTACAGAGTGTAGCTGGGATCATATGTATGTCTATGATGGAGATTCTATATATGCACCTTTAATAGCTGTACTTAGGTGAGTGCTTATGTTTAGCTGATGTACTTAAGTTTTAGAAAAGTAACTGTGTATAATTTATTAATTTTAAAGACATACTGACCTGTACTTCAAAATAAATTTGCAGAGATACTGACCATCCACTTAGGTGTATATGTAATAAAGTCAGTATTGATATAGCAAAGATAAATAAGTCTTGTACCAGATATGTAGATTTCTTTAATGAATATCCTTTATTTTTGCTGTATATAGTGTATTGTTTTAAAGTGCTTTGATGATATTTTCAGATCTATTTGGATAGATTACCATGAGTTCTAGCTGACAAAGCAATAAATAGGTATATATATTTTATAGTTGTCTTTTTATCTTAGCAAAATGATAAAGTTTTAAATTTTTATTTAAAGGTTAAGTTATGCTTTATGTATGGAGATTTCGTGTATAACTTAACTAATGTGATTGTTGACCAGAGTTACTCATTTTGTTATTTACACAGTATCTCTTATATGTTCAGTCATTATTAAAAATGTAAACATAGATAAAAGTTTATTGTCCCCTACAATATTTTTTCATTTTCTTTTTTCTATTTATTATTTATATTGCAGTGTTTGGTTTATGAGGAATGTGAACTATTATTTTTTTGGACAAACATGTAAGGGCTTGTATTTCCAAATAACTGTTTCAGAGTGACTCTTTGGGAGCGTAGACACTTGTTCTGTGATATTGGTATTGCTCCAAATACTTTTAGAACTTAATTTTTTGAATTACTTAAAAATTATATCGAGAGTAGCCATGATAGCCCTTCATCTAAGGATAGTACGTAGGAAATGGAGTAGAGCCTCGTGAATAATTACATCGTAAGATAATTCATTGTGACAGTGAGGTGAGATCCTGGGTTCATACATTTATTTTTTAGCAATTTAGATGTCATTCTGCTCTCATTACTCTATTTTTATGACACTATCGACTGACCATCATTTAGATGTGTGCCTTTCCATTTGTTTTTCGAGTAGTTGTAATGACTTTGCATTAATTAACAGGGGTCCGTTAGCACTCTTACCGACCCTTTCCTGACACTGAAGGAAACTTCTGTAAGATAATTAGCGGGATGGGATTTAGTGTACGACCTTGAAGATGGAGCCAGTGACTTGTCATTAGCAAGTCTTCCTGGTACCTGCCCGAGGGAGATGAGTGTCCCCCGGATGCTAAGCCTGCGGCAGGCAGTGAAGAGCCGAGTGGCCCGCCCGGCCGGTGTGGCTCAGTCGGTTGGAGCGGGAGCCTGCGCACTGGAAGGGGGTTCGACTCCCGGTCAGGGCCCGTCCCCAGGCTAGGGCAATGCAGCGGGTTGACGCTTTTCTCTCACATCAATGTTTTTCTCTCCCCCCGTTCCTGTTCCTCTCCCTAAAATCAGTCGTTTTTTTTAATGTCATGTAATTGTCACGAGGATCGTGTGGAAGAATTCCTGTCACCCCATTTTACAGTTGAGAAAATGGAGACTTGGAGAAATTAAGTTTTACCTGTAATAGGCGGTAGGGCCAGGATTAGGACTCCACAGTCCACTGACTTAAAAGCTAAACCGTACGTTGCTAAGAATTCAGAATCTGATCGTCCAGATTAGTCCAGTTGCGTATTTGCTACCCAGCCAACATTGGAGAGCCCGCTCGGTTCCAGAGGCTGTCGCAGGCCTGGGGGATGTGGCGAGAAATGAGATCGAGACCAGCGCAGGGCCTTCAGGCACCAGCCGCCCCGAGCTGGGCCAAGCGTCACGGGCTAAGCGCACGGCCCTCCGTGAGACTGCCCTTAGCGCAGGCACCGGCTGCAGGTTCCGGGGCTCCCGCTCTCCTGACCAGCCGGCTACACACTTAGGGGCGCCCGCTACCCCCTCGTGTTCAGTCATCCGCTGGAGTGACTCCCAGAGCTCGGGGAAGCACTGTGCGTATCACTGGAGTTTCCTTATAAAGGACAGAATTCACTACCAGCCGAGGCAGAGACCCACAGGGAGGGGCCTGGGAGGGTCAGAAACAGAACATCTGTGTCCTCAGGGGGTGTCACCCTCTGGGAACATTCACAGGTCACCTTCCGGGAAGCTCACCGCAGCTACAGGTGCCCAGAGCTTTTACTGGGGTGTCGTTCCGTAGGCACGACTGAACCGCTGGCCACAAGGCCCAGCTCAGCCTCTAGCCCCCGCCTTCCAGTCCTCTGGACGGTCTCCTTCTAGTCTTCTGCTCCTTCCCAAGCGTAAGCTAGCGGACGCGGGAATTATCCTGAAGCATCAAGGGTTGGCTGCTTTGTTTTGCGGGTACAGCGATGGGGTGAGAAGCGGATGGGAGCCGTTTTAGCTTTAATCTCCTCCTAGCCGCCGGTTCCCATAGAGACACCGGGGGTCCTGCCAAGGCTCTCTCCGAGTGCATTTTATGTGATTAACCGTCGTATGTATATTAATAACCACCACGGTCAATTTTGCCCTCTTCCAGTGGCCTGATAGTCCCCGAAATAAGGGGGAATGAAAGCGTGCCCGAAGTCGTCACAACGTCCGGCTACGCTCTGCTGCATTTCTTTAGTGATGCCGCCTATAATCTCACTGGGTTCAACATTTTCTATTCGTGAGTATTTTTTTCCGGAATTTCCTATTGTAAAGATTTTTATAATTTGGCTTCAAAGAGTTTATTGTTTGCTTTTGTAAACAGCATACCCGAGGAGCGGGCGAGTGTGTGAAATTTCAGAATATACGGGTGTCTCCGTAAGTGACATCCAGTGTGATAACGTGCCTCGGAATAGCGCCTGGGCCCGCACTGGGATACATTCTGAGTCCCAGGACATTGTGGTGGCTTTAAGTTTGGGTGAAAATTAATTACAGAATTTAAAATTGTTTGAAAATGACTAAGTAAACAAATACAGACGAGGGTAGCGTTCCTCGCAGCAGCAGGTGTGGGGGTGCAGGGGGTCGCCTGCCCTCCGGTGCCCAGGGTGTGGGGGCTCAGTGTTCACAGTCCTCTATCCAGACCGGACTGGGCGCTCCGAGTACATTCGGTTCTTCAATTCTCACCCCAACAATTCTGACAAGTGGGAATTTTCCCAGTTTACACAGGAGGGAATCGAGGCTTTAGGAGGTAAGGTGAGTGGCCATATCACTGTCTCCTCTAAAATAAAATAATACTTACTGAGCGTCTGTTATGTGTCTGACACTTCATGTACATTTTCTTTTAATCTGAAAGTCCAAGGGTGAAGGGAAGTAGCCAGACGCTTTCAGGTGCCGTCACAGGAGCAGCATAGAGGAACTCGGCACATTTCCCCCGTTTATTTAGGACCGCAGAGAATGGTAACCAGGGAGTTTTCACCAGGAATAAAACATTCTAACTATCTTGAATCACCAGTTTATTATAGAATTGATTTGTCTCAAGTATGTATGCAAGGGAGACTTCATATGCTTTAGAATATAATTGGTCAAAGGGCCTTAAAATAATATTTGACAAACATCTCATTTCTATATAACAGTATATAGGTGGTAGGATGCTATTTAAGTATTATACAACCAAGTTATATCTCGGCTTCTCAGGTAGTTTCTTTCAGGTATTCATGGATTTAAATTTTTTTCTGTAAAATAGATATTCACAACATTTGCATACTTAAGCCTTCGCAGAGCGTTGTGCTTGGGACTGCATGTGTCGCACAGATGCTGAGGTATAGTCCTTGGAGGTTCGGGTCTTGGTGGCCACATAAACTCATTGCAAATAAATATAACTGAACTGCGTTGGGGGTAAAAGGGCACAGAATAAAAAGCTGAAGTCACATTGTGAAATTGTGACGCTTACAAAATATCAACCAGGATCCTTTCTCGATGATCTTGAATTTGAGTCTATGATGAACTATGTTTTACAGAATCAATTCCTGTCCTAACAATTGCTCTGGTCACGGGAAGTGTACAACTAGTGTCTCCGTTCCAAGTCAGGTGTACTGTGAATGTGATAAATACTGGAAGGGCGAAGCCTGTGACATCCCCTACTGTAAAGCCAACTGCGGCAGCCCCGATCACGGGTACTGTGACCTCACCGGAGAAAAGCTGTGCGTCTGCAACGATAGCTGGCAAGGTATGCCTGCCTGTGCGGTGTCGTGGGTTCTCAGACTGACTCATATATCTGAGAGGTTAACACAAACCTTCACTCTCCTGTTTTGCTATAATTTGCAACACCCAAATCTCATTTCTTTGTTTGTTTTGTTTTTAGGGTGTNGTGTCTGAGAGGTTAACACAAATCTACACTCACCTGCTTTGCCATAGTTTGCAACACCCAGATCTCATTTCTTTGTTTTGTTTTTAGGGTGTTCAGTTCACTATTGACTTAATAGTTTGCTTCAAAATAGCACTATTGGTATAGATTTTGTCTATATACCGTTTTGAGAATCAAGGAAGTTACATATGAAGCNATATATCTGAGAGGTTAACACAAACCTTCACTCTCCTGTTTTGCTATAATTTGCAACACCCAAATCTCATTTCTTTGTTTGTTTTGTTTTTAGGGTGTTCAGTTAACTATCGACTTAATAGTTTGCTTCAAAATAGCACTATTGGTACAGATTTTGTCTATATACCGTTTTGAGAATCAAGGAAGTTACATATGAAGCTCTTTTTAAATTGTAGGTGTGTGATCATTATGAGCTTCTGTAATTTTTTGTTGACTGAATTTAACACGTGCTGCATTCAGCTTTGATTCATGGTGGGTAATATACATGGTTTATTGCAAAAAAAAAAAAATGCCTGTATTACACTTATTTATTAGGAATTACCGCCCCCTTNTTGTAATTTTTTGTTGACTGAATTTAACACGTGCTGCATTCAACTTCGATTCATGGTGGGTAATATACATGGTTTATTGCAAAAAAAAATGCCTGTATTACACTTATTTATTAGGAATTACCGCCCCCTTGTGGCTATTTTAAAAGCTCACAGCATGCAGTGTTTAAAAAGCAGACAATAAGAGTATTTCAGTTGCTTATTGCAAAAGATTCTCGAGGAAGAATTTCTAAACAATTTTTATTAGTGTCTTTCATTAAAGATTACTTTTATACTACATTGCAGGGTTTTAGTTTACTTGCGTATTTGGGTATAAAGTCATAAACTTTGTCATTGTAGAATTGAAGAGATAGGCCTGTTATCCATGTACTTACCCGTCCATAGCTTACTCTGTGCTAATTCTGTTTACATATTGAGAGCTTATGTTGTGCAGACACATTAATCTTGTTGATAGAGGGAACTTTTACTAAGAAAATACGTATTAGGAAGTGACATGTTCATGTGTTACTATAATATAGCAGCAATAGTTGCTATGAGACCTACATAAAAACCAAGGGAATATGGTCCTCTTGAGATACATTTTAAAAACATGTTGCTGAGTGTGCTGAATACTTACTTCAAGGACTTACTTTAGGCTTTGTATAAATTATACCCATCTAAAACCCACGTTGTCTCATTGAAAAAAAGAGTTACTCCAACCATACAAAATACTGGTGATTACTTATTGAATTGAATTTGATTGCCTGGTATGATTATGAAAGATACAAATTCCTCAGTGCTCTTTAATTACAGGGCCGTGTCTTTTATTAAGTGGCTATTTGGGACCTTTCTTCTCCTAAAACTGCTTTGAGGTGTCTCCTCCTGTTTCGTCATTTCAGTTTTAAAACTAAAATGATGTTCTTTTCTAAGGAGAGAATGGTCTGTCAAGCATATATTTAAAGTAAGGCCTGAGAGGTACAGGCAGAGCTTATACACAGTGTTTTTCAGACTGCTTTTAGTCTTCATTTTATTTTAGTTTTCATTTTATTTCAACAGTCTTGGAAACAAAAGGGGAAACTTGTACGATACTGTTCTCTATGAACATACCTGTGTTTTTTCCTGCGCTTCTATTAATCCTTCTTTGAAATGCTTTATTTTCTGGGGGTTTTATTCTAGAGATCTGGTTCAGAATATTATCTTCTGTTTTTCTGGCTTTTTATTGGCCTTTCACTTTTTTTTTTATTCCCAGTAATGCCTCAAATCCTACAAATTTCTGATTCTTACATGTCTGTAAGCAAAGGAAATGGGGAAGCAAAAACAAAGTGATAAAATGAATAATTTTATGTAGAGACAGACACATTTTTAATAAATCATAAAATATTGTAGAAATCAAACACATTTTTTTTTTTTTTTACCATTATTCTTAACAGTTAAGGAATTGGTCTCTGAATCGATGTGGGTGTTAGAGGGCGAGGTGCTTGGGGCGGGAGACGCTGCTCCTGCAAGGCGGGCGATGGGCGGGCCGGTCCCTTTGAGCTTCAAACCTGATCCCCGCGTCTGTATTTAAGGGAGTCAGGACTATGCCCAAAATCATTAGGGGGGAAACGAGGTTTTTATTTCAGACACGTAGAATATGGAAGAATCACTGGGGGGAAGAAAAGGGATTTGTTTCTAGGAATCTGGGAAATGATGAAAGAACTAGGGATATTTGAAAATGAGAGCCAAGGAGGCAGGCTGCTGAGATTCGAAGCCGGGCTGCTGTCTGTAACGTGTTATTTGGAACAGGAGTCTTTGGGTTAAAAATAAAAGATTGTTGCCAACCCCATTATATTTGACCCTTTTATGGTGGTTAACTTTAGTTATTCTGTTTTCTGAAAGAAAAGCTTTGCATTCTGGAAATTGAGATTTCATTAAGGGAGCGAGAGGAAAGGCCCGGCTTTGCGGGACGTCCCGTCTTGAATTCCCTTCCCGACGTTTCCCCAGCGCTTGTCCGCCAGTCCGCGGGTCTCCTCGCTTCCTCAGCTTTTCTGTGCGGCCGGAGCCCCTCCTGAGACTCCCGCTCATCGGTCGCTGTAGTGCCCCCTCCCCTTAACTTTCGCATCTGACTTTTTTGCTTAACCGTCTGCTCTCATCTTCTTACCATGTGAGGCATTCCCCGGGTTACACGGGAGTGGATTTGAAGGCGAGACGCAGCATTCAGGTCCGCTGTCCCCTTTCCGCTGCGGGGAGCGCCAACTAAACCCCAAAGCCGAAGGCGTGGAGAATCCAGGACGCGCCACAGGCAGCATTCGGAAAGCACACAAGTTTATCACGTGACGTTTAATTTTGTCATAACGCATACGTGTCAGTGATATGTGCCTGTTAAATAGATTAAAGGACAGGGGCCTGCGTGGACTCCTCTGCTTCTGTGACATCTTCCATGTAATTAAATTTGGATAAGTCTTAATAAGTCAAGGGAGGGAAAAGGCAACCTTGAAACGCATTTTTCTGTTAAGGTGGCTTCCAAACATGGGGACAGATGAGGAATTTTTAGAAGACGTCAAAATCAAGACACGACAGATTGGATTTACGCTCATTTGTACAGAATGCGGTAGAAGATTCATGTTCAAAGCAGACTCCAGGGTGTGGTGCCCCCTTGCCGCCTCCCCCAAACTCCCATCCTAGTGGCTGCACTTTTCTCTCTTTTACGTAACTTAAAAATGTATATATGTGAATCCCTGGAAGCCTTGACTGTAAGCAGCAGAAATAGCTCTGGGCTTATTTGAGCAGAAAACGTGGTTACTGGAAAGCGTGGCAGGGACTCTCCCCGCATCCGTCCTTCCCTTGTTCCTAATAATAGCACCCACCGAGTGTTTCTGGCTTAGCAGGTGGCCTCCCAGCGGCAGACCACACTTCTCAGCCTTCCCTGCAGCTGGAACAGCTGCTGTGCTCAGTTTAGGTCAGCAGGACGTGAGTGGAGGCGCCGTGGGGAAACTCTAGAACATCTGGACCTTCCCCAGCGGCCGGTAAATGGCAGCAACTAATCCGCAGCACGTGCCCACTCGCCTCCGGAAGGTTTCCTGAGAGAATCGGCTTCTAGCTTATTTAAGCAAATTATTCTCGATTCTCTGAACCTGCTCCCTCACTCATGCACAGGGTGTCGAGTGGCTCCCCAAGTGGATGGAAGGCTAGGGAAGCCGTGCTTGGAGAGGGGCAGGCACAGCAGGGGGGCTGGGGGGTCCCAGCGCAGGCCGAGCCACGGGGGGCGGTGAGGATCTGCCTGTGGCAGCCAGGTCTTAACTGGTACCGTGGCTGCCTCAAGATACGGAAATAGAGAATTTAACTTTCCCGGTTTGTGCAGTGGGAAGGGATCCTGTTTCTGAACAAAATTCATACAAAGAGTTTTCCCCAAACAAATGATTGGAATCTCCTAAACAGATAAATTTAAATAAAATATTTAAAGTATAGCCCGGCCGGGCGTGGCTCAGCGGTTGAGCGTCGACCTAGGATCCAGGCGATTGGGGTTCGATTCCCAGTCAGGGCACATGCCCGGGTTGTGGGTTCGATCCCCAGTCGGGGGTGTGCAGGAGGCAGCCGATCAATGACCCTCATCGTTGATGTTTCTCTCTCTCTCTCTCCCTCTCCCTTTCTCTCTCTGAAAGCAATAAAGACATTTAAAAAAAATTTAAAGTACAGATCATCATCATAACTGACAAGGAATGGGCTCAGTAGTTCTCTCCTGTCTACTCAGAAAACCTTGGCAAGGTGTCATCTGTGGTAAGATCGGGCGGGTTAAAAGGCGAGCCAGCGGGCTTCCAGGACGAGTTCTTCCTAATCCATCCCAACAGAACGTTTCCCCTGTTCTCTGGAGATGGAAGGTGGGTTTCCATCTTTCATATACGTGGGAGTTACTTAACCACCTGAGGACCGTCCCTGTTCCTGTCCTGTCCCGGAGTGTCCTGTCGCTCGGTCCTTCTGAACGTCTTTAGGGTGCTCCTCTTCGGCCCGGTGCAGACGCAGTTCTTGTATAAGGAGGGGTGTTTTCAGCCTTTAAGTCAATGAATAAAAGATAAAATCCGAATATGTAAGCCCTGTAACTTGATGGTTTTGCATGGTGCCCCTGGCTCTTCATTGAAAGCGATAGTTGACTTGGATTTACCTCAGCTCCCGGCCTGTTCTGTCCCTGATTATTTAAGGCCGTTGTCGTTTATGATCTTCCCCCTGGAATAGCCTCGCCCCTTTAACATTCTCAGGCCCCATCGGACCCCCTGGTCTCGGCTCCCCCTCCCTTACTGACCCACAGCATCTGCCCCGATCATGTTTGTGTGGTTCCCGGGTTGTCGTTTGTGCTGGCACAGAAACTCCACGAGTTAAGAAGGATCATGTTCTGATGGCCTCTGTGTCCCCAGCACCCTTCTGCAGCACCTGACATGTAGTAGGCACGCAATTTTTTTTTTTTCTTTTCTGATTGAATGAGTTAGAAATGTATTCGATTGCTCGTGTGTTGGTATGTGGACATTCAAATGTAGATGTTTTAGAAGACTAGTGCTCCATTAATTACGTCGTTTGCTTGACACAGGAAACATGATTTTAAACATTGAGAGAAACGACTGGGTCCAAGCATCTGGTTCTTGGGTCCTTGGTCTCGGATTTGCTGCCGTCCTTTGGTTTCACATTTTAACGTCGCCACTGGGGGGCAGTATTGACCGCCGGAGCGCTGAAACTCCCGGCATTACTCAAGTTGTGAAATACGCGGTGATTCTGTTCGTTTTGGGAAAATACAAAGTTTGTTAACGCGAGCTCATGAATGCTTTATCCTGAAGTAGTCTTTTCTCGGCTAGTCACATAGCATATGGGCATAGTTACTTTCGGACGGTGTGTAAGGGCCGTGGGCCGCAGCACCACTCGCACCTGGGTTCCTTCCTTGCAGAGGTCGCCGGATGCCAACGTGCTTCGCAGCCGCTGGTTTCTCTGCCTGTGCCTTAGGCAAGTGGGAAAGTGCATTGTGCTCGCGATCCCAGCTAGCTCGGTATCTGCCGTTTTTCAGCTGATCACCATCCACGTGCGGAGGCCTGGGCCACCTCGGGGACCTGGAGGGGAGGCCTGGGCGCTCGGGCACGTGAGGCAGCATCTCCACATGCTCCCCTGCCCACCTCACGATGCCAGTGCAGGATCGACCGCCCGCTTGGGCTTGGGGTGGGGGAGAAGGAACCCCAGAAGAGGGTCGCCGTCCTCCAGCTGAGCTCCTGGGTGAGGGAAGCGCCGGCCAAGGAGCCAGGCCTGTGAGAGAAACATCAGGATTTTACTTCGGGGCGTGCCAGGTTGGAGACGGCCGTTAGACACCCAAGTGGAAATGTCACGTAGGGAGTTTGGCTGGAATTCAAGAGAGACTGTGGGGCCGGAGAGATAAATCTGAGAGGGCTCCATGTATAATTCTAGCCTGTGTGGTTATGGAACAGCTTCTCCCCGCAAAAACCTGTCTCTCGACGGCCTGTCACTAATGCCTAAGTTACAGCATTAAGAGATTCATTGGTGCTCTTTGCATTATTAGACGACACATAACCCGTGGGAAAGGTGCATAGTAAAGCTTCATGGAAACCCGCTGCCATGGGAGTTGCTTTATTACATGGTTTTTGAGCAGCTGAGGTCGCCTGCCTGGAGGGGCTGCCCGCCGAGTGAGGGAAGCTGTGCAGGGAGCCCCCAGAGGTGTCGCCTCTGCGCCGGGCCAGGCAACGGGGGAAGGCTTCCCATGGCCGTGTTTGTGAAAAGGGAGCCTCCAGGGCTGTGAACGTAGACGTCAATGCTAGATATTTAACGGAGGGCGAAGGCTTTGTGAGTATAAAGTATTTTTTTTATAGTTATTTGTGTTTTAAATTAATATTCAGTTTACAAATTCACATTTTAAATCATTTTAGTCATGGGATGCAGAAAGCTACCAATTAGGACATTCAACGTTCCTTAACATTTTTAAGCCCTGTTCATAAGCCTTTCATTCTGTTTGTAAACTTGTTAGAGTAAAATAAAGACAATCTGTCGAGTTTGGCTACAAAGGAGCCTAATAATTTTTAGAGGTCACATAAAATGTGGTAGTAACAAAGATTTAGGGAGAATTTTGACTGCTCTTTTCTTTGGTGTAGGAAAAGTAGATATTCTAGATTAGAGTAAAATTTTAAAAGATCTCTAGAATCCTGTTTTTTTTTTAATATTTTGCTTAAATAAATAAATTGATTAAATTAGTTATTGGTTTCCTGTAACTGCTATAACACATGATCACAAACTTGCCATTTGGAGGTTACAGCTCTGAAATTGGTTTCCCTGGGCCAAAGCCCAGGTGTTGTCAGGGCCACCCCCCTGGAGGCTCTGGAAAGAATCTGCTTCTCGACTCTGCCAGCTTCCAGAGCTGCAGGCCCCACCGCATCCCTCCCTCCCTTCCCGCCTTCAGAACCTGCAGCCCAGCTTCTGGCATCGGCCACCACAGTGCTTTCTTTTTCTGTAGTCAGACCTCCTTCTCCTCCTAGGACACCTGTGGGTACAGGTAGAGCCCATTTAGATAATCCAGGAAAAACTGCCCAGCTCAGGATCCTTGACTTAATCACGGCTTCAAAGCCCCTTTGGCCCAATGAGGCGACATTCACAGGCTCCAGCAATTAGGACCTAGATGTCTTTGGGGGCCAGTACTCCCCTTCCACAGACTCGCTCTGAAATACTTCGCTATAGTGAAGATTTCGTGAAGATATTGCTGATTTCATTATATCCCTGACGCCCCTAAGAATTTTCCATGCCATTAATCCCTGTCAAACTCTCTTAACACCCTGGTATTATTGACTGCACCTGACTGCTTTTAGGTGGTAACTTTTAAGCTTTCTATTTAGGAAGGTATTTCAAATTTATAGAAAAATAGTACGAATGACAATAGCAAAGACTATGCAAACACCCTTAACCCATTTCACCTATTATTAATATTTTACCCTATTTGCTTTTTATTCTGGTCTTACATGATTTAAAATAAATCCACATTTCCTTTGTAAGAAAACAAAATACAACAAGTGTGGTGCCTGTGGGGGATAGTTGGGGGGAGGCAGACAAGGGTCATAAATGGTGATGGAAGGAGAGTTGACTTGGGGTGGTGAACACAACACGGGGTACAGATGACGTGTTGTGGAATCGTGCGCCTGAAACCTGCAGAATTTTGTTCACGAGTGTCACCCCAATACATTTAGTAAAAAAGAAAACAAAATATAAAACTTACACCAGTAGATTAGTTACATGTGATGTCCTTCTGCTCTTGTTTCTCCTCAGTTAAATTAGAGGCTGGCAAACGTTTCCGTTCAAGGGCCACGCAGCAGATATTTTGGCTGTGCTGACCGTGTGGTCCCTGCTACAGCTGCTCCGCTCTGCCGGTGCCGTGCCCTCTTAGATCGATGAGCGTGCTGTGCTCTAATTAAACTTCATCTGCAAAAACAGGGAGCGGGCTGGATTTTGCTCATGGGCTGTTGTTTGCTACCCCAAGTTAAATGATTTCCGAGAGATTCAGAATTGTAGTTAAACGTGTTTTTGTTTTTTAAATCAGTGTGTTCCTTTAATTTCTTTGATTGCCAAAGAATGGTTCAGAGTCTTTTCCCTCAAAAATAACAAATTTAAAAAATCTAATTTAAAGGATTGTGGCATCATCAAAGAGGTAATCGAGGGTGCACTTAGTTGCACCTGAGAAATCCAGACTCATAGAGTGTAAACTTTGAAAAGGACTCTGAAGGTGAATGAAGGAGCGAATGAAGGAATGGGGGAGCGAACAGGTAAATAGGTGGAGACTGTGTGGCTAATGCTTCTCCAGTTAGGGTCCGTTTGGAAGTTTTTAAATATTGTGATTCAGTGATCATCTAAAAATCTAGACCATTTATTACGTATATTTATTGATATCGTGAACATTGAATTACTCGCCTAATCCATGTATTCTGTTTTTATCGTCTAAGTTCTTTTTTAATGTATTGTGTTGTTTGATTTTTTTTTAAACAGGTCCCGATTGTTCTTTGAATGTCCCGTCCACTGAGTCTTACTGGATTCTGCCCAATGTGAAGCCCTTCAGCCCTTCCGTAGGCCGGGCTTCCCATAAAGCAGTTCTACATGGGAAGTTTATGTGGGTGATTGGTGGATACAGTTTTAACTACAGTTCTTTTCAAATGGTCCTGAAGTAAGTATTTTTTCCCAGATTTTCACAATCATTTAAACGGATTTTTTTTTTTTTGGTAACAAGACTACCTTAAATGCCTGTTTCATTGCTGTCTAAATTTATGAATGTTTATTTTTGCTGTAGTATCTATTTGCTACATGGAACTGATTTGGGAATTTATGAATTCAATAGTCAATTATTTGTCATTTTGCATATAGATTTGTTTTGTGTATATATTTCATTACCTCTCTAGACTGCTTTTTACAAATTCTGAATAAGAAAATATTCACTTAAAGTAAGGCGAGGCCAGGCCTGTATTAGACATTTTGAATCCTGCCACATAATGCTTTTTTCAGAATGAAGTGTAATTGCTTCTATAAAAACACTTTCAGTTTGACTGAAAATTAATTTACCTGAACTTTGTAAATTTGAATTTCTTTCACAAGCTTTTGTTGGGAGAGAGCGCCAGTATTATAAATAGATCATTCACTTGCTACTGTCTCCGTGGAGATGGTCCTCTGCTTGACTGGGTGACAGAGGGAATCACGTGGATGGCAGCTTTACCTGATTGCTTTTCAGCTGGCGATTGTATGTTATGAACGCTTCATAACATAAAAAAAGAGCAAAGATGAAGAATAATGTGATTATTAATGTTGTTTTTTGGCCCAAATATTGTATGAGTTCTACCCATACTGAGAAATTATTTGTTGTTTATATAACATTCAGATTTAGTTGGGCATCCTGGACTGTATCCGGCAGCCCTCCCCACTAAAAGTATTAGCTCCATTAATATGGGGTACTTAAAAATTCTTCTTATAAGACGCTTTAAAACTATGATTGAATAGGACTAGAATTAAAGTATAAAATAAATTAATTCTGTAGAGAGGGAGGAAGAGTTTTATGTATATGTAAGTAGACAATTAATTCCAGTAATAAATAGCCTCATCCCTTTACCATACTACACGTTTAGGGGACTGAATCCTAATTTAAAGTTGGTTTATCTTGAATGTCTTTCTGAAAGATCTCTCTTTATGGTACCTGACATTCTGAGCTTGTTAGTTCTGACCGTTTTGAATTTAGTACTTGAATACAGGTGAAGAAAGCATATGCAGATTAAAAAACCAAACGTGAACCTGAGTTTATGAAGTTATCTTTTTCTCGTTTCCAGTTATAATTTAGAAAACAGTATATGGAGTGTGGGAACCCTGTCACGGGGACCGCTGCAGAGATATGGACACTCTCTTGCTTTGTATCAGGTAAGGATAATGCTTCCTAAATTCAATTTTTCTGAGTTCACCTTAGTAGAAAAAATTCTAAATCTCACACTTATTTCAAACACCTAATGAGAGCAATAGATCGCATGGATCACAGTAACCTGAGATGTCACAGACTCGGGTAGTATTTTAGTAAAAATAGATTTTAGTATGAACAAGAGAAGAAACAGAGACTGAGGGGCTGTCCTCGCTGACGGGCATTTGGGTTATTTTCGCGTTTTGGCCCCTGTGTGTAATGCCGCTGTGAACACTTATGTGTAAGTTTTTGTGAAGACATACACTTTCTTTTCTCTTGAGTGTATATGTAGACTTGGAATTGCGGGATCAAATGATAACCCTAGAATTAGCTTTTGGAGGAACCGCCACTGTTTTCAAACTGGCTTATATATACCGTTTCACATCCCCTCCCGCCAGGCATGGAGGTCCCAGTTTCTGCGGATCCTCGCGGCCTCGTTAGTATCTGCCTTTTTTATTATAACCGTCCTGGCGGGTGTGAAGTGATATCTCATTGGATCTCGATTGCATTCCCCGGTGATTAATGATGTGGAGCATCGTTTCACGTGCTTATTGGCCGTCTGTATTATCTTTGGAAAATGTCTATTCAAGCCCTTTGCCCATTTTAAATGGGGTTATTTGTCTCTTTATTATTGAGATGTAAAGAGTTCTGTATGTCTTCTAGATACAAGTCCCTTGTGATTTGCAAATATTTTCTCCCATTCTGCGAGCTTTCACTTTCTTGATGGTGTCTTTTGAAGCACAAAAATGTTCGTTTTTTTTAAAAAAGTTTTGATGAAATTCAATTTACCGCCCCTCCCCTTTTGTTGTTTGTGATTATGGTGTCATATCTAAGCATCCGTTGCCAAATCCAAGGCCGTGAAGATTTACCCCGTGTTTACTTGTGAGAGTTTTGTGGTTTGGCCCTTACATTTAGGTCTTTGATTCATTTTGAGTTAAATTGTGTAGGTGGTGTGCAGAAAGGGTCAGGCTCATTCTTTGGCACATCCTGGTCCAGTTCTCTTACCACTGTTCGTTGAAGAGATTGTTGTTTCTCCACTGACTGGTCTTGGCACCCTTGTCAAATATCAGTTGCCTGTAGACGTGTGGATTTATTTGTGGACTCTCAGTTCTATTGATATATAGGCGTGTCTTTGTGCCAGTAGCACACTATCTTAATTACTTTTGCTTTGTAATTGGTTTTGAAATCAAGAAGTGTGAGTCCTTGAATTTTATTTATCTTTTCAAGATGTGGATGTTCTGTGTCCCTTGCAATTCCATGCGAATTTTGGAATCAACTTGTCAGTTTCTACAGGGAGTCATCTGGAATTCTGATAAAAATGGCATCGAATCTGTTGTTCAGTTATAGAGCTATAATTGCTGTTTGTACATTGATCTTGAGTTCTGCAATGTGGTTGAACTCATTTATTAGCTCTGATTGCTTTTTATTTATTTCTTAGTTCTGTCTCTGTATAAGTTCATATCTTCTGTGAGTAGCAGTATTTTACCTCTCCTTTTTCAGTCTGGGTGTCTTCATTCAGCTTTTGACGATTTGCTCTGGCTAACACCTCGAGCACAGCGTGGAATATAAGCGGCAAAAGTGGGCATCCTTGTCTTGTTCCTAACCTTAGTGGGAAAGCGAGCGCTCTCTCATCATTAAGTGTGATATGAGCTGCATGTCTTTCCTAGATGATCTTCATTAGGTTGAAGAAATTCCTTCCCTAGGTTGTTGAAATAGTAATGATTTGTATCATTTATGCATCATTCATTTCAGGCATATGTGATTAAAGTTATTTGTATAATTTATAAGTGCTATAAAGTATGTGCCCATGGCCATGGGAAATGGTAATAAAAATGAACTCCGTGCAATACACAGATGTGGTCTACCTTTTTGTGAACTGTGCTCGATGACAGCAGTGAATGATCGAGAACAGCCCAGAGCAGGACACATCCACGGTAACATTGCAGTGTAACAACTAGGGACTCAGCAACAGGGAAAATAAAAAATACGGTTCATTGACTACCTAATACAATTGTTTTAAATAAAATACCTTAAAGTAACTTTTTGAAAGCACGGATTCTCCCCCCCACCTTCTTGTAAGCAGAAGCATCAGTGTTCGTTACTCGTGCGTTCCCATTTAACTTTTTACAGATAAGGACTATGTCTTTCGCGTGCTGTGATTACTAAAATTGAACGTTTAAAATTAGCTTTCACTTAAAATTAATATATATTGCTAAGAAATAACTGTTTTGTCTATTAATACATGTTTTTTAATTTACAGGAAAACATCTTTATGTATGGAGGCAGAATAGAAACCAATGAAGGCAATGTCACAGATGAATTATGGATTTTTAACATACCTAGTCAGTCCTGGAGCACAAAAACCCCCACTGTCCTCGGCCATGGGCACCAGTACGCCGTGGAGGGACATTCCGCACATATTATGGAGCTGGACAGCAGGGACGTTGTCATGATCGTGATATTTGGATATTCTGCAATGTATGGCTACACAAGCAGCGTGCAGGAATACCATATCTGTGAGTTCCTTTGTAAACGTAGCCGCACGCCCTTTTCTTCAGTGGTTGAGAACATTTTTACCTTGATTAAAACCAACCTATGAATTTAGTCGAAACGACTAGTTATTTGAAATAAGAATTATAAGCCAAAAATCAGTACTTTTTAATGTAAGCGTTTTGGTTTTGTGCTAGAGTTTTGGCCTTTCATTTTTAAGTTTATCTTCTTAGTCAAACGTGGGGAAAGGTTACATACTCAGTATATGTCACATTTGCCAAGAATTGAGAATCTTTTTAAATATGTGAAATTCCAATAGATGGTGCTGTTTCTTTGGATTTTACTTGTGGACCAAGAGCTAAAAAAAACGAACCCCCAGTCTCGTTACTCTGCATTCCATGATTTCAGGATTTTTCATTTTTCAGGGGTCTGTTCCTAGTCTCGCTGCAGTGTCTCTATGTATGTATTACTCCTTTCCCCACCTAATATGTTTTTATTGATTTCAGAGAGGGGAGAGGAGAGGGAGAGAGAGATACAAACATCAGTGATGAGAGAGTCATTGATCGGCTGCCTCCTGCACGCCCCCGACGGGGGATCAAGCCCGCAACCCGGGCATGTGCCCTGACCGGGAATCGAACCTCGATCTCCTGATTCATAGTCGATGCTCAACCGCTGAGCCACGCCAGCCGGGCTGTATTTCTCTTTTAAAGGAAGCTTGATTGTCGGGTTCTTTACGAGATTATTGCCTGGAGTGTGAAAGCCACTGGGGCAATCTATATATGATTGTATTATGCTCTTAAATACTCTTCTTTGTTTGTGGTGATACTTTATTTTTTAAAATTATTTATGAAATTTTCAAACAGTTGTAAGTTTTTATAAAAGTTGTCTACAAATATGCCTGTAGTCACTACTTAGATTCAAGGACATACTCCCTTTCTGGCCCTGTCCAGTATTATGAACTCAAGCTTTTTTTTTTTTTTTTTTTTTTTTTTATATTTAACTATATAGGGTATGGCAAAACTAGGTTCACAGTGATTTGTACGGAAAATAATACAGAAATGAATAAATAATAATACAGGAATAAACTGTGTTTTACTCACAAATGTAGATCTACGTTTGCCCCACCCTCTATGCTACTGTTTAGAGTCCTCATGTAGTCTTAATAAGAAAACTCACTTGTCACCTTCAGCAGGCTTTGTGGCCCATGTGGCCTTTGTCACAACTAATCAACTCCCTGTTGTAGCAAGAGAGCAACCACAGACAGGACGTGAACAGATGGGCATGGCTTTGTTCCTGATTTTGCCCCTGTGTCTTCATTTGCCTAGTCCTGCTCTAGAGAGAGAGTGTGTGTGTATGCTACTGGGGGCCTAGCAACCCTGGCCCAAATTAATTTAAACTTTTGGCACGTGGCTTTTTGGACCTTGTATATATAGTGAATTCATGCCCCCAAATCTATGACCGAAAGCTCCCAGAAGGAACCATATATCTCCCTTCACGTAGAGCCAAGGCGGGAATAAACATTTCTGTCTGCTTCTGCAGAGCAGATTAAAAAATAACTCACTTTTTCATTGAGGATATAGTCCTTCAGGGAGCCTGACTTTGTGTAGAAGTTCTCCGATGCGACACCCACGCGGGCTGACCTTCAGGACTGGCCAGTAACACCGAACCCCTAGGCCGCATGCCTGGGACACGAGCTCCCTCCCCTGCCTTTCCGCTGAATGCAGCTTCTGGTCCTTAGACTATATTTTGCTATTTTTATACTACCCTTCTATGCGGGATAGTCTCATTCAGCCATGAGACATGGTGGCCCAGGGATGCCAGGAAGGCCCAGCAGGTTAATTCTAATTTTCTATGCATGGTAAATGTTGATACAGATTATTTACTGATACGTTCATTGGCTGGTAGGTTT